TTATTTCAAAGGAGAGATTAAGCTGAGGTAAATATCGAATGCTTCTTCAATTTGAACATAAGTTCGAATTTTTTGTTTCAGCCGGTTGCTTGTGGAGTACACTCGACGTAATCCGGACAAGGCGTTCATATTAGCTTCTCCAAATGCTCAGAAACTAATGAAAGACGAAGGAGTCGACCTAAACAAGTATGTTATTGAAAGCTATTATAAATTTTACGCTTGCCGTATGACGTAGGCTGTGTTTCACTTATGATATTTTCTGGCTAGTTTTTCTGAATGCATAAGCGATGATGATACTGTACATGTAGCATCGATTGTTAGCGGTATTGAGAGGATAGAAAAGTTGATTCAAAGATTGGAATTATTAACGTTCTCTAAATTGTGGACTAGTCATCTTCTTAATAACCACCACATTCACGTCGTTTGTTATAGCATCACGATCATCACCAAGAAGGAGAAGACCAGCAATGACGCGGTAAGAAGAAAAGTATCCATATATCTTTGCTTTTCAGCCATATTAGTAGCACACACTTGCAGGTTGCACCCAAGGTAAATTCATCTCGACCATATAAACCGATTTTGCCTGTTAGGTCGTCGTCCTCCGACGAAATACAGGTAATTGCAATCAAAACTGCAACATCGTCCTCATCATGCATTTCGTCAAAGAATCCATTCGCTCCAAGGAATCTGCAGAAATGATTGATTGATTCTTGGCGAAGGTTAAAGCCGGTGACTTTAAGCTCAGGTCTTTGCTCGCTCGCCATTTTTGCAGCAATTATGAAGTCTTCTTTCAGTAGAAACCTCATATTCGCAGATATAATTGAATAGGTTTAGTATCAAAATTGAAGGGCTTGATTGAAGCCATTTTGTTTTCCTTTTGTTCTTATCTGTAAATACCATACCCACTCATGGTACTTGCATTCCCTTGTGCCATGAGGTATATAATCCAGCTCTTTGGTCTCATCTAAGCGTTCAACTCATGCGTCCTTCATTTTTCTCCACCTCGCTTCAGGTGTTCGGTGATGGTTGCATGCTGTGATTAGCACTGTCATTTAACATTGTTTGTTTCAATTGAGCTATACTGTGATTACCATCTTCGATGAATAAAGCATGTTTTTCATATGTTCGCCATTAATTTCAAAATCTGGTGTAGGTGAGGCCCCTACTTTCGAGTTATTAATGTAGACTCACTATTTTTTGCCCTCATTTTTGGGTTGGTCATCAGCTCGCTTTATCTGTTTAGTCTGCTTCATTTAGGTGACGGGTTACTGACTGTAACGCTGATTGTCACCAGTTTATGCAGTACACGTAAATATTGAGATTTTTTAGACTGCTCCTACACAAGATGACAGGGACGTTGTTGCGGTTGAACCCAGCACATCGAACGCCAGTACCTCGAATGGCGACGCTGCAGCTGGTAACATTTTCATCTTGTCGAGTTTGATATGAGCCTTTATTTTTGGAAGGGGTTAAACTGCACTTGTCTACAAAATCCGTATTTTTAAGTTTGACTTTCTCCAGCTCATCGTATGTCTGCGGCGTCATTGTATTTGTTAGCTTACTTTTTTACTATTATTTTTGGAGCAAATCAAGTAATTTTTGGCACTGCACTGGAAAATATCTGATCTTATGGGAACCTCTATTCAGTGAATGGCTTTGCATTAGTGTTCAATTTTCGAGAAGTCCCAATAACAATTTTAATTTTGCGGTCGTTTCAAATCCACAAAAATATGTGGTATTCGGGTGTATCTGCGGTTGGGACAGCGCTGCTGGTAGGAATCGTATTATGCTGGCACTAATGTACGTGAATTGTTGAACAGTGGCAGGAATAGATTGGACATTCGTTTCACGAAGTACACGTGATAGGTGTTAGGCTCTCTACGGCAGACTTTGAGGTGCCAGTATTTTGAAGGATATAATTTTGCTCAAATTACTGGTAATATCTGACTTTCAGCAGCAGCGTCGTCAGCAGCCATGATTGCATCGAAACAGGCTATAGCAGCTTTGAATGGAATGGGTATAAACATGACGTCTACTCAGATGGCAGAGTCTTTGTTTTTTTTTCTTGAATTTTTCCAGTAAACTTCTTGCTGGGTTTTTTTTTAATTGTGGCCAGTTTTCTTCTGGATTGGCGTGTGTAGCTGATGTATCGCCGAATTCACGGCACACTATTGAGAGCCAGATTTTCTGCAAGGCACTGTAAAGCTCCAAATATGTCCACTGTGTAATTAAAGGGCATGCTCACATTTTTTTTTTGAGATGCTTCCTATTGTCAAATCAATAGTAAACATTGGAAAGAATAGGCCGTTGCTAAGCTAGTTGTCCCGTCCTTATTTTTTGAAAAGTTGTACTACTCATAGCAAAATAGAGATAAGACTTTTAGACGTAACGGACCGGTTTTCACCACCAACTCAACGTTTAAGTAACCCATTAACCATATTCCTCGAGCACTATTCGTATTAAGTCGATCAAACTGTAAGTGTTAGTTAGAATTGTTTTCAGTTGTCCTCCGCTATGCAACAGCTCAGTTCCTTAACAACAGATCCGCAGAAATTGTTGATGTTGCAACAAGCACTGATAATGGTACGAGTTTTTTGCCATCTTTAGGATAGTTTTAATGGATAAACGCTCCTTGAGAAGTATATCGTTTTAGCAAGTAATGACGCATAATCAAGTTGAAGCAAAGCGAAAGCAAGAGGAAGAAAAAAGAAAAGAAGAAGAGAAAAGGGTATGTATGCTTAAGTATAGCTTACAAAAAGATTGACATTCTCTTGTTTTTCTTTTGTCCTGATATCTATAACATTAGGTAATTAATATAATGTCTGGGTATTTAGAAGAAGTTAGAAGAAGAAAAGGAGGCAAAAAGGCGAGCTAAAGAAGAGGAGAAAATGAAACTGGTCTGTTGTTTTGGTGCTAGAAGGTAAGATGGAAAACTAACTCGCCTAACCTGCGCAGTTTAGATCGCTCAGAAAAAGGCAGAGGCGGTGAATGCTAAAGAAAAAGCAATGGAAGAGAAGCGGTTGCGTATGGAAGAAGAGAAGAAGCAAAAACTCGCGGAGAAGGCGCGGAAAGCCGAGGTGCATTACAGCTTTATGCGTTGTTTCGATTATCCCAGGTAGTACGAGCCGAGTGTCACTGTTCCTTTGAAAGCACAGTAGCAGCATTTGCCTAGTCTAATTAATCACGTGTGAGGTGATATTCACATTAGTTGGTTCGTATCCATAAGCAGTTTTGGTACCTTGAATTTGATTTGAAGACCCCACAGAATTTGATTCCATGATTGCTCTACGTGATGCCTTCCGGGTACACTTATCACCACCCTACGTTGCCATATGTGATACAAAGCTAAAATGGATAGGGAAGAGAAAGAAATACAAGGCATTTCGTTCTCTCTCACAATTCTTTATTGAGAGTGGCAAAAATAATCTGCCTGTTTTATTTTTTCCAGGAGGAGCGGGAGAAGCGTCTTCAAGAGCAGGCAGAGAAGGAACGCATCATGAGGGAGGAAAGGGAAAGACTCGTGAAAGAGGTTATTTCTAGCAAGGCATTAGCGTTTGAATATTTGAACTGTATTTTCGAAGGAATCTCTTTTTATTACTAAAATAACAGTTTTTTTCAAGCCGGTAGTCATTCCCTTGATTTGTTTTATGTTTTCTTCCTGACTCTTCGTTGTGCGCTGCTTTTTCCAAAGTTCTCATATTGGTAACACACAGGTGTGGAATAGGAGGTGCGTAATGTGGGTTACGTGACTATTCAAATTTTTTCCCATGTTTTTCGCTAGAGAACAGCGGCTGGCTCAGTTTCCGAATACCAAAAAGGATGCGAAGAATTGCGACTAATGATAAGCATTGGAGAGAGGGGTACTCGGCTTTAGGTAACCCGTCCTGTCGCAATTACCAGGGAAAGGGTCGTCTTTGGTCGCATGGGGAGTATCGGGACAGAGGGGTGGATGTGCACGAGAACCCAAGGGGAGGAATGCGCGGCTGTATCTCATTGATACAGATCTGCGAAGGAATGTATTGCAGTGGTGGTTCAGAATAGATGTTTGAGAACTTGATAAAGGTTCAACCCTGTCCAAAAAGCGCAATTCTCGTGGCAGTTCCCGAACCAAATTCACCCCTAGCAATAACTTGGCTGCTGGTGAACTTGCAATCAGACTTTTCCCGTGAAAGTTCGTTACGAAAACAGTTTGGAAGATGATAATTTCATTCGAAGTCTAAAAAACTCGTGGACCTCCTAAAATGGCTCATAAACCCCACGAAACATGCGGGACTTTTCTTCTATTTATTTTTCACTTCTCAGACCAGCTCAAGTACTTTTTAGGGCAAATCTCGTGGTTTTCTGTAGAAGTTCTCGTTTTGAACGGCAACAATTCTGAAAGGGAAATGTTTTGCTCGTTTGAAATTTGAAAACTTCATGTGAACGAAAGATTTGCCAGCGGTGCGATTTTGAAGAAATGGAGCAACTTTCAAGACATCTTTGACAATATCCAGGGAAGCAAAATATCCGAACGTATGAAATCATTTCGAGCTTCACGCAAGTTCAACATCTCAAAACGAGGAGCCAATTACTTTAGGTCACGCGACCAGGGGAATTCTTAAATTTTCTGTATTTTCTCCACACTGCCGATAGTTTCATCTATTAGGCTTTAATGTCAGAATTTGGAAAACGGTTCGAGGTAATTGTGAGCTATCCGAAGTCCATCACAAATATCTGATCAGCAAACCTATGCATTTCTATTTTCTCTTCCATCATAATTGCCAAGTCAGGAGGAAGTGCAATGCAGTGGTCCCCGGTTTTTACTCCTCGCCGTCCTGGAACGATGCATCAAAGTCGTTCTAGCATACCAGCCACGTTCCTATTACAATTCACAGCTCATATAGTAACATTTTGTATTTGTTTTTCTAAATACAGGGTGGGCAAAATTACTGGTGCACCTATACGTTTTGAATTTTTTAACACTTCTTGGAGATTTTCCTGTTTCACTCGCTTGTGATATGTTGCCTGGAGGTTGCGTAATTCCTACGTACTCGAATACAAAATGGTCCGTCGTTCTGACCTACGGAGCGCGATCATCAAACTTCACAACGACGGCAAGCAAACAAGAGAAATTGTGAAGATCCTTTCCGTACCTCGAAGGACGGTTCAGAATACAGTACGACGCTATAAAGAACTGAAGACCGAAGAGGACAGAAGAGGACGTCCCACAACAGCTACGAGTCGGAGAAATGTGAGGCTCGTCAGAGAAAGAATTCGAAGGAACCGCCAGGAGATCGATGCGCCAGATGGCGAAAGACGTTGGAGTAAGCGCGAGGTCAATGAGGAGCATTGTCAGAAGTAAGCCAAGAAGTCCCCTACCTCCAGCTTGCCAGAAATGCCAACTCCTGACGGACATTATGAAGAAAAGGAGATTGGAGAGATGCAAGAAGTTGCTGCAGCGATTCACGGTGGCACGCGCCCGAGACATCGTTTTCAGTGATGAAAAGATTTTACTCTGAATCCAGCCTTCAACTCCCAAAATGAGAGGATTATTGCAGGATCACTTGCTGATGCTACCACCAAGGCAAGACTCCAGGAAAGAGCGAAACACCCCCAGTCCATTCTTGTTTGGGGAGGAGTCACCTCTACGGGGAAGACCCCACTTGTTTTCGTTGAAGCTGGTGTAAAAATCAAACGCAGAGGTTTACAAAAATATCCTGGGAAGTTCTCAAGCCGTGGGCCAACTCCCATTTCGGAGAAGCCTACTGGTGCTTCCAGCAGGATTCTGCTCCAGCACACAAAGCAAAGATGGTCCAGGAGTGGTGCGCCGAGCACCTGCCCGACTTCATCAGACACGACGAATGGCCCTCCAGTTCTCCTGATCTAAACCCGATGGATTACTCTGTGTGGTCCATCTTGGAGAGCAAAGCGTGTTCTACCAGACATCCAAACTTGGACTCTCTTAAGGCGGCGCTTTCAAAATCTTGGGACGAAATCGATGACCAGTACCTGCGTGCCACATGCGAAGCATTTGTCGAACGTCTGAAGGACTGTGTGAAGGCTAAAGGAGATCATTTTGAGAAGCATTAACATTTTTTGTATTGTCATGTTTGTAGTAAATAATATTGATAATTAGAATTGATTTGTGAGAATTATTGTCAAAATGCCATTGAAAATTTAGTGCACCAGTAATTTTGCCCCACCCTGTACTTCGCCAACTTTTGTCTCACGAAGGTTGGACAGAGGTTGTTAGAGCCTCGATATACGGGCAGTTGGTCAAAGGGTCGGTCCTATCGTTGCTACTTTTCAAAAAGTTTTTACGACCCCCCTCCCTCATAAAATGTTTCATACGACCCCCCTCTTCAAAACAATTTTTACCCCAAAAAATTACCGTCGAGCGGGGGGGGGGGGTATACTTCCTATAAAACCGAAGCAAGTACGACCCCCCTCTACAAACTCATCAAAATAGCGACCCTCCCGTTGCTACTTGTAGCAACATGGGGTTGACCCTGGTTAGGGTGTCGAAGTGTTCGCAATGAACCCAGTGATTTACCAACGCCAAGGTATATCCTGCAGGGGTGGGTAGCCACACTTCGTCACTTAATAATATTTTGGCCCAAAAGATCAGTAGGGCCAATTTTAAGGGCGCGTCCGTATAGATCTCCGTGTGGTATATCGAAATTCTCGCAAAATTCCAAGACACTTAAATTCTCTTCACAAGAATTTTTTCAGGCAGCTGAAAAAGTGAGAAAAGAGGAGGAGGAACGTCAGCGACAAGAGGAGATCAGAATTAAAGCTGTAAGCAGTACTTACCATACGATCTTTCACATCTGTAGTTCAGTAGTTATTTAATTGAGACCGGTTCTCGATTTAATTTGCCTTATATACGTCCACATTAGTAAGTTCACTGTTGAGTTACATAAGAAGCCGAACAGCCTGTGATTGCTAGGCATAGCCAGGTGTTGGGTTTTCAAGAAAAATAAGCACGAAAGTCCTGTCTATTATTGTATTCAATCTGTCTGGTTGCCTGTAGAGTGTCTTGCACGCTTGCAGGAAGAGGAGAAAGCAAGAGAGTTGGAAAGAAAACGTCAAGCTCAGCTTCGTGAGGTAGTCTTTTGACGATTCAGCACCATAGTTTCCCTAGTGTTTGCATGATTTGTTTTGTCAACTGTGATTGTGTCCGTACGATTGCTGTCAGTGCGCTAAATCTAGGAAGAGGAGAAAGCTGCGCAACTACTCGAAGAGGAAATTCTTCTGGACGAAGTGTCGCACAGCGAAGCTCCGATCCCCCTCGAGATGAAATCGGCTCTTGAGGTGAAGACTTCATGCACTATGTATTTGTATTTGTTATTTGGAAGTGCATGATAGATATTTATTTTGAGCTGCTATTGACACGAATGCAGTCGTTTTCATTGTTGATTATCCGCATGGCTTTTTATACTTGTAGTGCATGCTAGAACTGAGCAAAAACCGTTTTCTGGCGCGTGAACATAGTTTTGAAAGTCTTAGGGGCTCTGTCCTGCGATTGCCCCCCCCCCCCACCGCCTCACTTCCTTTTCCAAACTACTTTTTGGTCTTTCTGCGTAAAATGTTCACGGTGTCAGAAAAGTTTGAAATTCGTCGATTCCTTGACAGTCACTAAAAGTCTATGACATCTTCCGTTGTTTAAATGAATGAGAGAATAAATATGGAGAGGAATAAGAGCTGCGGGGCGAACAGTAAGAACAGGCTTGAAGGGAAGGACATATAGCGTTTTTTGACGCGTTTCTAACTTTAGTTCCTAGGTGACC